CCGTGTGATTTCATTATTAACCAAGCCAAGTGATTAACCAATCAGGAGGCTTTGTATTTGATAATTGTAGTTGATAAAATAATACCTGCTCAGTCATTTTGCTGTGAGCATAATATATATATATATATATAATCTCAAATACTTCCCCATCATACTGTTTAACTATGGATCTATAGTGAATGGAACAATGAATTCACACGGCCGTGGCTCGTTTGGGTAATGCTGATGGCTAATTTGGCTCCAGAACCACTGAGGACTGAGAGTCACTGGGCTAGCGCCAGCGAGGCTGCTGCACCATTCGCCTTGCGATGAAGTACCATACAAGGTGTTGCTTAGAGACCCGCTGACTAAGCGCAGGGGTAGCGGTGGATGACACGGCAGCCTCTGCACCAGTAGTGGGATGTAGGAGGCACAGAAAGTGGCACCGTTTCTGGTGAGTTGTGCAAGAGGATGGAAGCAGGTGTGAGAGGACTTACCCAAGGATGGGGTAAGGGCAGGGCCGGTGCAAGGATATTTCGCGCCCTAGGCGAAACGTCCACCTTGCGCCCCCCCCTCCGGCCCGGGGAGCCAGGGCCACCCCTAGCTATTTTGGTGCCTTACGCAGCCCCCCAGGCCTCCACGGAGGGGGGGGAAATGGCCCCAGGCCTCCACGGGGGGGGGGACTGGCCCCAGGCCTCCGCGGGGGGGGGCTGTGTGGGGCCCCGCCCCAGGCCTCCACAGGACGGGGCGGGGCTGGTCCCAGGCCTCCATGGGGGATGGAGGGGAGGGGGGCTGGCCACTTCCTGCGGGAAGTGGAGTGACCCGGCCCCAGCCTGCTCCGCTCCCTTGGCTCCCAGCCACGCTGGCGAGTGCGGGGGGGGGGGGCGGTTCCCCTCTCCCCCCAAGCCTGGGAGCCAGGGGAGCGGTCCAGGCTGGGGCCCCAGGCCTCCGTGGGGGACGGGCAGGAGACAGTCCAACGAGTCAATTTGCTACCAGGATCAGATTATAGAATGTGACTAACTAATGTATCAATTTCCCTGCTGCTGTTTCAATGCTGGGCTCTCATTTTGCTCCAGTATCAATATGTCTGCGTCGTGCCGGTTTGCCCATGGTGTTCTTTGTTCGATAACAGCACAGACAATGTCTGAAATGCAGGCCCAACACCTCCAGGTGCAGTGGGAACTTGCCTCATCTGACGGCTGTCTCTGCTCAAGACGTAGTCCTGCCATTGCTAGGTGGGTGATGCAGGTCACACGTGTTCGGAATATGTTGCCATTAGCCGACACAACCCGTGTTAGGGCAGAGAGCCTCACACGGGGGCCACTTACCCTTACCCAGTGCGTCTTGAATCGGACTCATACCGCTGAGCTGGGGTATGTGATCAGATGCTGAGTGGGGGCTGAGATGTGGAGGCTGTGACCTGTACCCCTGGGCTGGGACACGCTGGGGCCATTCCTGGAGGGGGCTGTCAGCACTTGGCTGAGGGAGGGCATCACGCCAGCGTCTCTTAAAGAAGCGATTGTTAGGCCTTGCCCAGGGAATCGTCTCTTTGAAGCTGAGGCTTTGTCCAGTTGTCACTCGGGTTCGGCTTGGAATGGCCCTTCGACTGAGGAAGATCGTTGATAAGGTGTTGACGAGACAACTCTCCAGCACTCCCTGCATTGTGGAGGGCGATTTGACGCTCGATGGACTGTGGCTGTCAGCTGCAGAGTTGTGCATGCTCAGCCCTTGTGAAAACCAGGCCATGGGCACGGACACAGAGAAGCACTTCGACTGACTGGGCTTCTGTGAAAACGGAGGCCTCGCGGCCAGGGTGAAGCGGGCGTTTTCACTAGGTTGGAATGAGATTTGTAAAACCACATTCGCTAGAGAAGGGTCTGTCTGAAATGCAGAGAAAATGGCTGAATAGCTGTTGTGTGCTTTGCCTCCTTCTTTCGAGCTAATACAAGGTTAGCTACAGACTTGACGGGAAACTAAATACACGGGATGGTTTTGTGCGCAGAGAACTTTAGTAACCGAAGGAATTAAAAATCAGAGAGAAAACACCATTATGTTCCACTAAGTCATGAGTGCCTGTCACGGAACGCGATGGAGAAAAATACATGCCAAGTGCCGCAATAGACATTGTCATAAGACCTCGTATAAAATCCTAGAGCCCTGTGCTGCGTGTGAGTAGGATTATTGTTCATCTGTATTATGGTCGCACTTAGAGGCCTCCACCAGGATCACGCCCCTCTTGTGCGAGCCGTTGTGCTAACACACTTAGGAAACAGTTTCTGCCCCCAAGAGCTGACACTCTATGTAATCTTGCCTTTTGTTTTCTGGGCGCTGCGTCTTTAAATTCCTACCTGCATGGGAGGTAGAGCTGTACTGTGCAGTCATTCCCCCGCTCTCTGGTCCAGTGATTCTTCAAACAAAGTGGCACAGCTCAGCACCAGGGCTTGAGAAGGCAACGTACCCTCGCCTGGTGGTCAGGGTGCACAACTGGGAGGTGAGAGAACTGGGTTCATAGCCCTGCTCCACAGCAAGATGAGTGGGGATTAGAACCTGGGTTTCCTAGATCCTGAGTGAGCGCTCTTCCTACTGGGTATAAACGGGGCCAGATTTACCCCTTACGCGCCCCGAGGCACAGCATCTTCAGTGCCCCCCTGCCTACTGCTGACCACCATGTTTTCCGTAAAAAATGAAACTTGTATCCCTCTTTTCGGTGCCCCTAGAACGCCAGCTCCCCTAGGCACGTGCCTCCTGTGCCTAATTAGAAATCCAGCCCTGGGTATAAATGGGGGGTGGGCTAGGTGTGCTCTGAGAACCCACCTACAGGATCAGGCCCTCTGGTGAGGGAGCCAGAGGAACGCCTAGTTTGAGAATCCTGCCAGGGCTTAGGTGTCAGCCAGGGGGCTGAGCCGGGGTAGGAGTGAGGCAGCTTTGTCAAGGGGCACTGGCAGAAAAGTAGCTTCCTAGGGGACTTCGCCAGCAGGGGTTTAGGAACCGGCGGGGTTCGGGGGCAGCTGAACAGGGCGTTGAAGATCCACATTTTGGAGGTAGGCGCCTACGGCAGTTGTCTAAGTCCCTTTGTCGCTCTGGCCCCTAGTGGCAATGGGCAGCGTGTGCTTTGCCTGCTGCAGTGGGATGCTGTAGCAGAGGAAATGCCCCCACCCCCCCACCGCCAGACAGTTATTTTAGTGGCTGTGAGGCTGACACTGAGCTTTCATTCACTTTTTAGCTTTGCTTCTCCCATTGGCAAACGGTCTGTTTGGGCAGTTCCCCGGGGGCCGGAGCTTTATCTCCGAGGGTAACCGGATCCCCTGGCTATTTTGGGATCTAGGGGCTTTTACTCCCCCAGTGCAGGGCAAAGAGGACATTAAAATATCCACTAACTGGGAGCAAGTTTAGTTTCTACTGAGCATGGCTGGAGTCCAAGGGGTGAGCGCCAGGGAATGGGGTCTGTACCCCAATAGCAATGCACTCAGGCAGCTGGAGCCCCAGAAAGTGCTAGCACAGGAGAAGACTCATAGCTAGCTAGTATATGCACCAAAAGACATGAAAAGAACGCTAAGGGTGCAAAGAAAAGCCACCTTAGTTCTGCTTCCATGCACATATCCAGTAAGACAGGCTTCAACTGCGGGAGCGCAGACTACATTTTCCCACATGGATCAGCATGAAGCTTTGAACTTAAGCCTCTCAGATCCACAGCACAGTCCCCTACTACATGAGCTAAAAGAGCAGCTCCTAACAGAAGTAGGCTGTTATCCTCTATGTGGACCAATTTCACAAGAGGGCTGTAACACACACACCTGACAAGTGAATCACACCACTATTTGCTAGCCAGCAACAGTAGAACCGTGGGTATCCAAAATCCATTGTTCTGTTCCCTGCTCGGGGAGGGGAGTGTTGTCAGGAGTTAGAGCAGCAATTAATAATAGGTTGGCCAAGTACAGGTGGCTCTGCGGGGCGGATGATACTTACCCTTGCGATATTAGACACCTGGGTTCTCTTCCCAACTGACTTGGATATAAACTGCCCAGCAGGAAGTTTCGACTTGAAATTAGACGAAGGTTTCTACCCATCAGAGGAGTGAAGTTCTGGAACAGTCTTCCAAGGGGAGCAGTGGGGTCAAAAGACATATCTGGCTTCAAGACTACGCTTGATAAGTTTATGGAGGGGATGGTATGATGGGGCAGCCTAATTTTGGCAACTAATTCATCTTTGACTACTAGCGGTAAATATGCCCAGTGGCCTGTGATGGGACACTAGACAGGGTGGGATCTGAATTACTACAGAGAATTCTTTCCTGGGTGTCTGGCTGGTGAGTCTTGCCCACATGCTCAGGGTTTAGCTGATCACCAGGTTTGGGGTTGGGAAGGAATTTTCCTCCAGGGCAGATTGGCAGAGGCCCTGGGGGTTTTCGCCTTCCTCTGCAGCGTGGGGCATGGGTCACTAGCTGGGGGATTCTTTGCACCTTGAGGTCTTTAAACCACGATTTGAGGAAATCAATACCTCAGACATAGGTCAGGGGTTTGTTACAGGAGTGGGAGGGTGAGGTTCTGTGGCCTGCGTTGTGCAGGAGGTCAGACTAGATGATCAGAATGGTCCCTTCTGACCTTAAAGTCTATGAGTCTTTTGACTTCATCTTACAAATATGTGTAAAGTGGGGGGAAGGGGGAGAGAGGATGATACATGTCTGCCGAATAGGGAGCTCATAAGCTTTCCATAATATTAAAGGGTGTGACCTACCCAGAGATACTAACAGCTGAAGGGATGACTTAAACTCATGGTCTCTGGGCTCTTAGCTCAGTGCATCTTCCCTGTGTCATAAATACTCTTGCAGGAAGGTTGCACCATAACATAACTATATTTCATAGAATCCAAAATGATAACACACAAGAATTCAAAAACAGAGAGAGATGAAGCAGGCTGCTCCCTAAGGCAGGCAGAGGCATAACTCACCCCTCCTTACGCTGGGGTGTCTGGCCCAGGTCACATGCTTCCTTACAGAGCCCTCCACCTGCAAGCAGGACCAGGAAAACCCCAGAGAATTTAAAGTGATAGAGCAGAATTCTAACACAATTTTCCATACACCATACCCTGAGGCTATAGGGACCTGTCTCTGCACAAGGAGAAATGGGTCTCTCTTTCTTCCTCCCTACACTTTTTCCCTCAGAGAGCTGGACAAGAAGGGTTTTGGATGTGCTGGAGCTCATGGTGATGGGACAGTCTCCTGAACTTAGAGACTAGCCTGCAAACTTGGGACAGATGGCAACACTAGTCCTGATTCACCTGCCAGTCTAGCCCAAAACACTCAACCCACCTTGCTGCAACACATCCTATCTCTAGCCAGCCCAGTGCCCCGGGCCTGGGTCAGCTCAGAATGTCCCCTGGAACCCAACACGTTCCACTTTTGCAACCCCCCGGTCTGGGCCAACTTCTGAAGCCCATCCAACCCGTCACAGTGCCCCTTGGCGGATGCCTTGCTAGTCACCTTCTGAGTGACCAGTAGCTGGTGGCTTGGGGAAGTGTCTTTGATTTTAATGGGTCTATCTGAGTGCTACGTGCCATGTCAGGGGTGGGGGCAGGAAAGCTTTGCATCTCATCCATGCGCAAGTCCACCTACAGAAAATGCCTGAATTCCTCTTGGGGAATGCCTGTCACCTGCTGTTTGAGAACATCCCCACACACACACACTCACACACACACACACACGCTGGCATTTCCTGTATTGGCTTTGTTGAAATGGAAAGGCTGTGAACTGGAACCTTGGGTTCCAGCACCACGCCCAGGAAAAACCACCCAGGCCAGTTTGACATTGCGGCTCCTGCCGAGCTGCTGCTGGGGGTTGTGAAATGTGTTTTTCCCCCGCTGCAATGGGGTTTGTTTTTGTAACATGCCCAGCAGCTTTCCCGAGAAGGATGCAAACGTCATTCTTCTCTTCGACAGGCCTGGTTCTCAGGCTGTGCCAGCATGCATGGCCCTGGCTTGCTGCTGCTCCCTCCCCCGCCTGTACCCACCAGCGAGGGAACTGGCAACTCTGTGGTAAGCCAGCAGTGACAATGAACCATTGGCAGAGCCTTGGCAGAGCTCCTTGAACCGTGTGTGAGTTGGAGGTTGGCACACGGGGGTGTCTCTGCCGCCCAAACACACACAGAGGGCGCCAAGGTCAGGCTTGTTGCAGGAGACGGTTGGTGATCCAGGGCAGAGAAGGGCAAAGGATCACTGAGAACTGACTCAGTGAAATATTAAAAAAGGCACTTTATTAAGTGAACAAGGCAGAAGCAATTACCTTGTGTAATAAATAAGGAGACAAAAAGGGACTTTGACCCACCGTCTCACAGGGCCTGGGTGGGGAGCTCCTGACTCGTCGCGCTGTTCATCACACAGACTCGGCCCCGTCCCAGTGCTCTGCCCATCCCGTTGCCCAGCCTGACGGCAGAGCGCCGTCACTCTGAGCTGGCCGGGTTCCACCGGCACACGGGCCAGGGCGTTCGGATGCGAAGAAGAAAGTCTGAGTCAAAGTGGGGCACTTAGGTTAACTTGGCCATTTGTCTGTGGCTACCCAAAATGGGTCAGTGTTGTCACGCTTCATCTTCATCATTCAGAGCACCCGGTGCCCTTCCAGCCCCCTCCACAGCCTGCCCAGCCTCACCTGAACCCCCACCAGCCACTCCCGTCTGCCTGACCTCAGAGACCCCGGACACCTGGCTCTCTTCTCCACGCAACCCAACTCCCATCCACCTGCTGGGACTATCGGGGGGAGCTTCTGAGGCAGCCTCTGGCCCCTGGAATCTGCTTCACAGCTGCCTCCTGAGAGCAGACACCTACCCGCAGTTGATGAGCTCTGCTCAAGTTCACAGCGCTGGCTTTTTGCTGCCCTTTTCTCTCTCTGCCTTCTTCCTCACGCCCCCTTCCCCACCACACTCACCTCCCCGCCTGCTCCCAGCCCCCCTTGTTACATCCCCCCGCCCCCAGCCAAACTAACGAACAGCCCTGCTCGCTCAGTCGCGTGCTGAGCGTCATTATCTTCACACGCACACAACGAATGCTACACGCCAGCCCCCGCCCCCGCTGCATGGCCTCCTGGGCAGTTCCTTTCCTGCTTGCTCTGTACTAGGAGCTGCTAGGGCGAGGACCGGGTGATGTCTCCTGCGTGTCTGCACAGAGCTTGCCGCAACAGGGCCCCGTCCTGGCTCACCAGTGGGAGCTAAAACTCTTAAATAACACTTGGCACCAATGCAGCGTATTGCCTGCACCAAGCCCTGAACAAACAGCTGTCGACGGTTGTGACATCCCTGGGAGCAGGTCAGGGTCATTACCCCCATCGCACAGCCAGGGGAAGTGGCTTGCGCAAGGTTGCCTGGCTTGTCAGTCAGCAGCCGCCAGGAACAGAATCCAGGTCTGCTGCCACCCTCACACCTAACCACAGCCCAGGAGCAGGGAAATAACCCGGCCTGGCCTAGTAATGGACATGGGCCCCGCTTGTGGGCTTGGTTGCCATGAGGAGCCCCCCGGGACACCCCGCTGCACCTGCCTGGTGGAGAGGAGGGAGTCCTGGGTGTGGGGAGGTGGGTGGCAACGGGCGGCGAAATCAGACTTTGAAAGGTGCAGAGGATGGAACCTTTACCCCAGCCCAGGACTGTGCCCCTCAAGCTGCTCCAGCACTGGGCTTGGGCCTTTATAAATGGAGCTGAACGGCCCTTTCCCTTTGATCTCTGGCACTTCCAGCGGTAGGCAGAGCTCTGTGCAGACCGGTGCCCAGAGTGGCAGTGCCCAGCTGGGTCGTTTCCAGGGCATAGCTGTGCAGCTCTGGGCCACCAGCAGAGTGGCTGGTGTGACTCCAGCCTCGCTGTGTGGGCTTCCACCTCGGGAGTGTCACGGACAGAGATGCTCCCGGGATCACCCAAGATGCCCCCATACTGATTTCGGAGCCCCAGGAGGGAAAGAGCGTGCAGGAAAGTAGAGACAGCACTGCCCAAGGACAAAGGACTCCTCCTCACCTGGAGCGGGGACATGTATACAGGTGGAGCGCACAAGAGGTGGGACTTTCACTGCCTTCCTGCTGCAGAACACCAGGCACGGAGCTCCATTAATGGATGGAAGGCGTACAGGTGAAGCTCGGCTCGGCTGCAAAGAGGGACACAGGGTCTCGCCGCAGGAACAGGAGGGGAGCCTATTTCAAGGGGCAGCAACAGCGTCAGCAGGAACGTGCGTAATGAGACTTTGGACAAGGGAATCTGTCCCTTCCGTGCAGGCTGGATGCATGTGTCCTGTACGAATGCATTACTGATCAACCCAAGGGTCAGCCCCAACCACTGGCAGCGGGACCTGGCTGGGAGCTCGCGCTGCACACGCTCTCTTTTTTAAAAATCTCTCTTCTTGTTTCCAGGGTGGCTCTGGGCAGGGATTCTACAGGCTTCTCTCGGGGGCCTAGGGGGTTACTCACCCAGCTGAATCCAAACTGGGTGGGTGGAGAACCACGGCCACTGTCCAATGACCGCTCAGTAGCCTGTGTGAGACAGACCATGGGCCAGAGGGAGGATGCCCAGGGGTTAGGGTGTTCACCTAGGACTCGGAACATCTGGCCCAGGGCCTTGGACAAGTTGCTTTAGGCTAGACTATTAGCCCATCTTTAGGCACCTAAATAGCTTTACAAGTCTTCGCCTCTCCCTGCCTGAGTTCCCCAGCTGAGACTCGGGGGTAAGGCCCTGCCCCGGGGTGTTGTGACAATAAACGCATCCACGTTTGTGAGGCTCTTGGCTACTCCAGTGATGAGGGTCCTGTTAGAACCTAAAAGACCAAATTCCCAACCCCACCTTTCACAGAATCATCAATCAGCCCACGACCGTTTACAAAAACAACAAGGGTGGGTGCTCCCTCCTCGGCTTCTGGTACATAAGCTCCTAGGGGAATGGACACTGTCCCAAGCGCTTAGCTCAGGCCAGGGGGTCTACCAACTTGACTTGGTAGTGAATGAAAGCAGAGAGTCTCTTTGGATCACCTGACTCCAGCAGCTGGGGCTTTAGGAAGCACACCCAGTAATGGGAGACTCTCAGTAAACTCAGGAGAGCTGGCCCCACTGGATAGGTAGAGCTGGGCTGCCCCCCCGCCCCTTGCAGCAGAGTCCAAGGACTGAAAGCGGGGGGGGGGGGCGCTTGCCCTGGCTTGGGGGCGCCCCTACAGGGCTGTGCAATGGGGCACTTTTCACTCCCCAAAGAGGAAATAAAGAGCGAAGCGCCGCTTGGCCGGGGAGCTTCAGGGGCGCACGGAGGG